GTAATCATAATATACCAACTGGATAATACTGCGCAAATGGTTTTCGGTAGATAGCACTGAATTCAACCAAGTTGATGAATGGATCTTCTGTCTGTGGCCTGAGAGATCCAGCCTTTGCCTCGTGTGTCAGGATAATTTGGTGACTGTGGTTTGTAGTTCTTCCCTTCAGTTCCCATTCAGAATTGGCTATCCGAAAATTAGTTAGCCTCACCCATTTTCCTTCGGTACATACATATTCAAAATAGGATAGTGCTCTGTTTGTAGCAAATCCATTGATCCTGTTACCCTGTAAAAATATACAAAAATATTAATAAAACTATGTAAACATATCAATCAAACAATGGATAACTAATGACAAATATATAACTTACATTCTCGTAAACAAAAATGAAGTTCGTTGCCGGTAAGCCTTCGTCGTCTTTAACGGACCAGCGCTTGTAAACCTTGACCTTAGTGATCCAATCATCTTTCCATGCATGAAGTTCGTTAACATCTGCGTACTCACCCATTAGATTCTTCTTCTTTCGGTAAAAGATGGAGTTTTTGGAAGACAGAAGAGATAGGGTTTTTTCTAGACGTATGAATGGGAAGATAAAAGTTTAGTAGAGAAAATGTAGTATATATAGAAAAAATATTGAACAGATGCGATGGTTGTTATTTATTGGAAAGTTAAAACATTTTTGGAGAGTTGCAACGTTTGAGAAGATTTGGTATATAGATATCAGAAAGCAGTTATTAATATGAGAGTAACTGTTTCTGATTTTTTCAGATTTACAAAGACAATGTATGCATTGATAGACGATATAATATAGGGAAGTAGGAAGTTGGTATATATTAAGTCAAAGTTATTTAGGGCATAAATTTACATGAACATAGATTCTCTAAATAATGAATATACTGACAATAACGTTGAAAATGTTTTACTGAATCTTCAAAGATAAATTTATTTTCAATATTATGAATGTCTATGCATGGAATGGTTAGTTCAGATTTGATAGTTGGATATAACATTGTTTTATGCAATTATGATATTTTAGTAAGAAGGTTATAAGGATATGTATCAGATCAAGTGCATCGCAAATATAGAATTCAATAGTGCAATGATAATGATTGAATGAATAGTAAATTTTAATATTTGTATCATATAGTCATATTCTGTTTACTGATTAAAATAATGAGTATATACAATTAATTCACAGATTTAGGAGACAATATGGAAAACATATAAGGAAATAAAATAAGAAAACTAAACTATGTTTACATTTTCATATGAACTAATTTTTGGAGACAACTGAATATATATATTAGCTATCTCATAATACAAATTTCAAACATATACATACATATCAATACTATGCGATGTATGTATTATGAGAGAAATTTGATAATACTAAGAAGCAGACAATTTATATAGATAAAGCAAAATATAAGGTCCAAATATTTAAACTTAACAAAAGATAAGAACATAATGTATCTCTTATATATCATCCCACACGAAAGTTCAAAAAATAATCAATATTTCATTTCTTCTGCTTCTTCGATGATGTAGCCTCGGCATCATTCTTCATCGCTCCTTTTGACTTGTTTGATTTCTTCTCATTATTCCAAAACCTAGTTAGACAAATGACATATATAAAAATATTTATGATTTATGTAAACAAATTAGTGAAAAAGTAATATTGACAAAATAAAAATTATTACATTTTACAAAAGGATTCCGCTACTTCTAACTCAGGGTGAAATTCAAATCTTGTTATTCCACCTCTGCTTTTGAGATATATATTACCTGTAAATAAATGAGTGTATTTTAAAAACATGTCACCATATTTATAAAAAAAGATATAAAGAGTTATACTGTAACACAAACCTCCATAATTTTTGATACTCCAATCAGTTAGAAGACACAAAGAAGGGATTTGTCTAACATCCCATATTTTGTTATTAAAATCAACAGCTAATTGTCCTACGGCATTGCACTGAATCTGCATATCAGTACACGAAAAATATGAAGTATTTAATTACCCTTTTAGAAAAAACTTAAACTATAAAAAACAACATAATGAGCAATGCTTACTTGTGATTCTTCATTGTGAAAGTGATAGAAGGAGTCATTTTGTTAGGCCTATTTGGGCAAGTTTGATCTTTTATAACCTTTAGTTCTTCAGTACTAATAACAAAACCCAAAAGATCTGTATACATATATATATATATATATATATATAAGGACCTAATCATTCTTATCAACCTAAATATTATACACCTATTTCAATAAATATTGAAATTGAATATAAAGTTAGAATGTTTACCAACAGGGAATTCAGTATCAGCTTTGCCTTTAAGAATTTCTGAGAAAGAATAGAAGCCCTTTCTAGATTCCACTTCCCTTGGTTCAGTATCAGTTATAGTCGTATTTTCCAATAACTGTATAGCCCAACCGATTGGAGAATTTGGTTCTGGTAATGGATCTTCAAAGACCACAAAATCTGTGATAGTCTTCCAATCACCCTCGTTAATTTCTCTATCATATAACTTAATCAAACCGGCATGATACATATATGCTTGAACCATATCACCCTGTATAGAAAAAGTTATGTTCCAAAATAACCAATATAAGAAATTAGGATTAATTATAGTTAACAAACCTCTTCGTCCATGAGCATCATCTGTAACGAATCACGATTAGGAGTTCCTTGGTCGATCCATTTCTTCAGTACCTTAACTCGGAGGCTCCAATTTGTTCTATCGAGATGCAAATCGTTGATGTAGTCATAAGAAGCCATTACCCTAGTGTGTAGATTTATGTTTGAAAGAGAGTAAAGCAATTTAATAAAATGGATGTTACAAAAGTTTAACGATAAGGATATCTTATTTGTCAGGATATATAATAATTAAATTCTTTAAATAAAACCCTACACGTTAAAGGGATTGGAAACCGATTATGTAACCAATACGGTAATACAATTTACTTTATTGAAAGATTCATTCATTTTGGAAAAGGGTATATGCATCGGTCAATCAACTGAAATCTTTCTGCTAAATATGCAGCTTTTCTGAAATTGAATATATTTAGGCAAACTCATATTAGTCAAACTAATTATTATGAGATGTATTGAATATAGTGAAATATGTTTTTCATAGTGAATAAGGATATAAAATATATCTAAAAATAAAATCATACATATATTCCCATAAAAATACATTTAAGTACCCTGTCATGTTGATTCATACAAATATTTCCATAAAAAATATATTCAGTTGATTCATACATATATTTAGGTAAATATTTTTTTACCATAATGTGTTTTTCATATATGATGTCTTTGATAATTGTCGGTTACATTAAACTATTTATAGTATGGTGTTTTAATATGAAATCCTTGTAATTTATATATGTTTTGTCTTCTAATTCATTACTTTGTTAATTGGGAAGCATCAACTTGGAAAATTTACATATTGTTTGTCTAAATAATTATTCACTTTAAAATTTTATCTATGATAAATTGTACTGAATTAAACCAAGTATTATTGAGGTAGACAAAATAAAGAATATCATAAAGGTCAATAGACCAAAAAATTAAAATAATACAAATAAAATAAAAGCCTAACAGATAATATAATTCGATATGTATCTGCTAGATTATTTTGAATTAAATGCTTATTCATGCCGCATCCATGTGCTTATCCTCTATACCTGCATAGTTCAAAAAACATATATTGTTAATATCAAAAAACATAAAATTCTTAATAGTATGTGCATTCATCAGTTCAAATATAAATGAAATGTCTACATAATCAGGATTACCTATTTAAATCAATAGTATAGGGTGCACCTCCTACCATTGAAACATGTCCTTCTGACTATACATTTTTGACATAAAGAACGATCATACAGTTCAATAGTTTTTCATAATTAGATATAAAAATATGATGATATGTAACATACGTACCCTCGAAATGATTAAGAGGTTTAACCGTGGTAGAGATTATAAATTGAATCATTTTGTTGTATGATCGAATAGTGTTACACGATGGTATTTGGATTACAGCAAATTCATCGATTTCAAACCATGATCCCTCAATCAGTAAACAATCATACTTCTCAATCCATTTCTTTGTAACTCTAGCCTGGATCTTATTACCCTGTCAGAGAAAACAAAAATCAGTTATTAGGCATTAGTTTAACAAAATATATAAGTAGATTCTAATATAGATATCATATTTTTACCTCGATATCAATCATATTCATATCAAGAGTAGTCCCTTTATGTCGAGTGTACTGCTTCCACTTCTTAATTAGTTTAAGACGCACAGTCCATTGTGTTGTAAACTGATCAATATCAGAAATTTTGTCAATAAGAAGAGACATTTTGTTTTCTCTTGAAGTCTGATTTAGAGAATGAGATTATATATGTAAAAGATAAACATATATATGAATTGGAAAGGATTTCACGTGTTAGGGTTTTATTGATATTACCTTACTAATAAGAAATATATTAGGTAACAGAAAGATTATGAATCAACCAAATATTCGTAAATCTTGATTAAATTAAATACATGGTCATAATAAAACGTCATGTACTAATCTCGGAAACTATAATAATAAAGATCATAAATATGTATGGCTACTATATCAATCATTCAGTATCTATACAAACATTCATATAATATTTTATTTAAAATCTCAGACAACTTCTTTCATTCAGTATATATATAAAATCACTAAGTGCTGAATAATTTTATCATGTAATACATAAAAGGCCATTTCAATAATTTGGAAAAAATATATAACAAAAAAATATCATTGTATACGAATTACAATTGTGTGAAAGAAGCTAGAAAAACTTAAAGGGTAAAAAATGTGGAATGATCCATGGCTCCAAAGAAGAGTTTTATATAAATTTTCCTGAAAATGAAAAAATAATAATGAAATTTTTTAACAATTCATCATATATAAATCAAATATATAAAGAAGATAAAAAATAGTAACTTACAAAATAGTTCTACTTGATAAGCTTCTGGAATATTTCTTTGAAGACGACATTCATGGTCTGTTTCTGTGGGTTGCCTTTTTTGTCAACAATGAGAACCTTTAACCCTGCTTTAGACTTAACTCTGGATAGAGCAACATACAACTGACCATGTGAAAAAACAGGTCTAGGCAAATATAAACCAACACTTGAGAGTGTTTGTCCCTGACTTTTATTGATGGTCATAGCAAATGAGACCATCAATGGGAATTGTCTCCATCTCATTCTGAAAGGGAATTTGCCTTCAGGAGGTGAAACAGACAATCTAGGTATATAGACTTTCTGACCGAGTGTATGCCCTGTTAACACAATTGCTTCAATGATATGATCAGCTAGTTGAGTCACTTGAAGCCTGGTTCCATTGCATAACCCACTATTGGGATCAATATTCCTTAGCAACATAACAGGTGCTCCTACCCTCAACTTTATACAATGATTAGGCAAACCAGAAATCTTTATGTTATTCAAAAAGTCTGGAGTATAAACACTACTGTCATGATTCGAAGTATCTGATGGATCTATAGAATCCGAACTTAGATAGACTCTCTCTTCACCTGTTTACAAAAATGGTCAGTTAATAAGAAATTATTAAAATCATAGTACTACATATAATAATCCAACAAAATACAAATAACGATTATGTATATAGATTATACCTCGAAGAGCAGACATCATGTAATCATTAATCGTGCATACATCATCATTAGTTGGACATAAAATTGCTCTTTCCTGGAAAAAGTTAGGATTGGTTTGGTCTTCAAATCCTAATCCATAAACAGATTCAACAATAGCCTTGATCGGCTCATTTCACTCTGTTATCAAAAGTTCCTCGGGCATATCAATCATGACTTCCCCTGTATTTGGTAGATTAACCTTACCATCGCCTACCCAAAGAATCCATTCAGAAAAGGATTTGATTTCTTCTGCAACACTTGCATCAATGTCTGCCAATAAACGCATGTTTTTGGTTAGTTTCAAAACTTTACATGCGTCCCATAGATAAGAAGAACATAGAGATGTCCTTGTGATATCTTCTCTTCCACCACCAGTTATAACAGGCAAGACTTGTCGGAAATCACCACCAAAGACAACAACCTTTCCACCAAAAGGTTTATCTTTATGCATAGGAATAACATCACGCATACTCCGATCTAAACTCTCAAAACAAAATTTACTCATCATAGGAGCTTTATCCCAAATGATTAATGAGGCTTCAGCCACTAATGCAGCTAAATCTGATCCTGGATGCATATTGCAAGTAGATAGCTCATATGGATTTAAAGGAATTCCAAATCGTGAATGAGCTGTTCTTCCACCAGGCAATAAAAGAGCAGCCATACCACTACTGGCCACGTTTAATACAATTTGTCCTTTAGAACGAATGGCAGCAGATAAAATTTTCCATAAATGTGTTTTTCCTGTTCCACCAAACCCATATAGGAAAAAAACACCACCTTGGTCTAATGTAACAGCTTCCATTATCTCTGAGTATACTTTCATCTGCTCTTCAGTTAAACCAGGAAGCATCTTATTATGGAGAGCAGACATCTCATCCTTATCATAATTCTTTTCATCGAATAACAATCGATTAATGGAAGCATTATGATAACCATCAGATGGAAGAGGCATACCATCAAAATAAGCCAAAGAACTTTCATTGCTACGCATAATTATCTCAATTGCATCCGATGTATAATTTTTGAGCTGGTCTTCAGAAAGGGTTAAATCTACAACAAACGATGGAAACAATTAATAAAATATAATATGATGGTTATGTCATAGATATATTTTGTTCCAAACATTTAAGGAAAATACCTTCTCTGTTTTCTAATCTCCTTCGTCGATATATGATATCATCTGAAAGAAGTTGCCAAGTCTCATTCCAAACTCCACATGGATTAAGAATACTATCCGTAATGAGCATAACAGCAAAAAGTTTCCTTAGGAAAGATCCGGATCCCCAAATGTTTGCTTCTTTCAAAGCTTCTATGTATTCAGTGTCATCATCTAGCAAACCCAAAGCATAACATGCATCCTTGAATGTAGGATATAGAACTTTGTCAACCGTTTTAAAAAAATCAAAACTGGTTGGACATTGGACCCTGTTTAGCAATACACGTAAATAGTAAAGCTGACCACATGCTAGAGGAACATATGTTAGTCTCCTTATAGCCATACCATTTTGTCTTGGCCTCTACTCAACCTCTTTTCTGTCGTATATAAACACTATTGGGAATTCGGCATAGGTGAGATTCTTCGATAATTCAGGATATTTGTCCCAAGCTTCAAAGAAAGCAAGTAGCATTGAACTCTGAACTGATCTGCGATTAAGAACTGTTTCTACCGGGTCATCATCACCATACACACATGGTTGTTCTCCAGGGAGATGGAAATATAATTTTTCCACATGCAAACTTCTATAATGTATTGCAAAAGCAAGTATACGCCAAGATGCTTCGCAAGCAGATACATATATGTTGATATATTAAGCAAATTATAGATAGTTAAACATATGAGGAAAACGACAATATAAGTGTTGAATACTTATAATTGTAAGTTCGATAAACAATAAATACCTGCATTCAAAATACTCTCTAATCTCATCTTTAGTAACTTCAGATGCGTCGTCACCATCCTCGTTCGCAAACTCACCAATGTCTTTGGCATTATTCTCGATAGTAGCTAAAACTCTATCAGGACCTTTGTGGATGTATTTGAATAAATACTTGATTGACCTAGCTTTTGTACACCACTCAACATTGATATGTGCTCTATAACGCAAAAATAACTTTCTGTTATATGGAACAACCCAACTGTTATCAAGTCTGATACCATTTTTCTCAACAAAATCATCAGTTTGTCTCCTCATATAATGTGGAAAACCAATGTTATCAACAACAGTCCGGTCACAGTATTTATTTGGAAACATCTTGGAACACCGTCCATTTACCATGCATGGAGAACTCTTATTTATATTACCACATGGACCATGTATCATGTTCTGCTTCACAACTTCATATAACTCAGGATCGGTTTCTTTATTAGGAATCTCAGCTGATATTACTTTATCTATTGATTCAGGTGTAGGAAATTTGTATTTCGATGCCATCCAAATCAAAATATGAGCATGAGGAAGTCCTCTCTTCTGAAATTCAATTGTATAGATTCCTGTAAAATAGTATAATACATAATCAGTATCGTAAAATATATGATATTAGTATATGAAATGACATAAATTTGATTTACTAAAACATACCACAAACAGTTTCACCAAACAACTTTTTTTTCAGTCAAATCTGTCATTAGGGATTCCAGCTTCATCTTGAATATACGACAACAAATATCAGGCCTGTCTTCAGGTTTGAGATTTTGTTTTTGACAATACCTAACAATCTCTGGCCAGTTTGGATTGCAAGTGAAAGTGATAAATAAATCGGGAAATCCGAAGTATTTACAAATAGCCATTGCATCCAAGTAATTGTTATTCATGTACCTAGAACCACCAGTGAATGATGCAGGAATCAAAATACGTTTTCCAGTATTGGATAGATCACTTTGGCCTTCATTATGCGCTTCAACTAAATTTACAAACTTCTCAGACCTAAGTTTGACTTGGTTGTTCCTGAAGTATCGTAATCTATTAGCTTCAATCATTGTAAATACGTCGACCAAAAATTGCTGGTATAGTCGTTTATACCGAATTATTGTCTGAGATTCCATCAACATATCCTGAATTCGATATGAATAATATTCTCTCATACTGATAGTCTTCCGTTTTCTGTCCTCTTTATGTGAAAAACCATCTTCAATACCAACTTGATAGCCATCTTCAGCGTAAGGAAATAATAGAGGATATTGCAGAGCTCGATAACCAACGTATAATTCACTGATTCTTCGAAGACTACCATCCTTTGCTTCTAACATAATGTCTCTATTGTCTAACCCTTCTTCAAAATCACCAGGAATTAATGCAGCAACTTCCGTTGCAGTTGGCAAGTTATGTGTTCTAGCATCTTTGTCTCTCTTGGCTATTAGAACCATTCGAACAGTTCCTCAATATCTGAATTTTGGTACCTGTCCTTGTAAGAACGAAAAGCTTTAACCAACGGATTGCAATGATTTAACATCTTCATTAAAGCTTCAATTAGCTCAGGCCGTAGCTTGTTGTCAATTTTACCATTCTTGCTGTAAATGAAAATGTTAAAGCATGGTGAAAATTAGTCTACGTAAACACAGTCAGAATTAAACAATGAATAAATAATTATGTACCTTAATGAAAGTTCTCTATTACGAATCTCATTAATTGTATCGTGAATATAAAGCTGTAAGAACTTGGGTTTTTCATTTGCATTAGGCATCAAACTACCAATAAGATGGTAGTTTTCACCATGTAGCTGAAAAACCTGTGGTCCTTTACCTTTGTTTATATCATGATTTATTTTGCCTCCTATAGAGGTAAAAGAAAACATCATGTTATATGCTCTAATATTTTCACGGAAATGACGACAAATCTCATCGTCACTTGTGAAGAGATATAACAGTAGAGGAGGAGGTTGTTGTAACATTGGGAGCTTTACTTTTCCTTGCATACAACAAAGCGTGAAAATGTATGTCTTCAATTTTTTTTTCTTGCTGATCCTCTCGTTAAACCACATACAGGTAGAGCAGTGTGTACAATGATAAATAGGGTCGCCATCATCGTGGTAACCTATAACATGACGAATTCCAATTTATTATACATCAGTAAACAGTAAGCTGATACATCCAAAGTCAACTACGTTACCATTAGGCTGAATTACAGGTCCAATATCTACTTGAGATTGAACAGTACTACATACAGGGATGTCATGATCATTTGCAGGTGTATAATTCCTTTCTACACCTTCCAAAGATAGTGTAGATTGTAAACCACTTGGATCATAGATTGTCGAAATTCCTGACAACACAGTAATGTTTATGGAAGTAACTAATATAGAAAAATTTAATCATAATTACGATAGCCAATAGAATACCTTACAATACACGACCATAATTAATAATATTGTGGAAAGTAACATGAATATACATACCTGAAGCTTGAATGTTTGCATGTCTCTTTTTCAAGATAACCTGTCTCCTATTAATCCTTGACAATCTTTGATTTTCTAAAATGGAATTGGTAATGTTACTTAGTGGATTACTTTGTGATTGAGGAATAGGAACATTGGATGTATCTATACAAATATTGAAGAAATATTAACAATTAAAATACGTCCAAAATTAAATTAAAGTATTTAACAATTACCCTATCAACTTATACATGATTATACCTTTCCTTTTCCTTCCTGATTTTTTTCCATGGTTGTTAGATAAAGTAGAAGTCGATGAAGTAACATAGCCTATTTTTCATAAACCAACTTATCAAAATGTTAGATAAGATAAAATATAATTTCTATGTCATATACATCATAATTATACACAAAGATTTGAACATATTTAATACATGATACCTGATTGCGAAGTAGTTTTGGGTGATATATTACATGGTTGCGTTGCTTTCTCCATAGCAGAGTTCCAAAACGAAACAACTATTAATTGATAATATGAAGGACACAATTGTGATTAAGCAATCTCTTTAATTAAGAAAGTATATAAACAATCAGGATATAACAACTAAGTTATTAAGGATACGGACAGACTCTATCTTTTCACATGTGATTTATCTTGATGGATCATCTCTTAGTTTTGCTAGTTGAAGTAAATCAAGAAATGAAAAACTCATTATATCAAATGTAAACGGTATAATAGAGATTGAATTGAAAGAAATATAAACGTACGTGCACTTCTAGAACTTTTAGATGGATGACTCAATTCTATATTTTCATTTCGTGAATTTGAAGGTCCATCGTTGAATTTGAGATTTCTTTTGACGTCTGTTATGTTTCTATCAGGTAAAACATGATTTCCAACGATGGGTTGATCTAATTTTCCTGAAAATGAATATGAAACAAAGTAGTCATAATTATTTAACATGTTTTAAAATAATAAAGAATATATTAAACTAAATATATAAAAGTAAGCTTACTTGATTGAGTTTTTTTTCTTCTGGTCTTATCAGGATTTTGGTTATATGAGATATTTGAGTATCCTGATATAGAATATCGACTATCACAAATATTTGCTGTTGGTATAGTTGGCAGAATTTGATTTGAGCCATAACATGGAGTGACTGGACTTGGTAGATATTATAAAGAAAATACTTTAGTTATAAAAGAGGTTTCATTCAGGACAACACAAACATAAAGAAGAAGGGTTAAAAAATACTTGTTTGTGTACCTGTGTAATTTTCTTTTCCTGTTACTGATGTTACAGGAGAACAACAAAATTTAAAGATAATGCAGTTGTCTATGAATAAATTGATTACAATGAAAATAAATAAACTACATACTTGGGCTAAGTTGGTTCCTTTTAAGATAACTTGAAGCACTGGGACCAGTTCGGGTATTACTGATATCTCCTAATATATTTCGGAAAACACCAGGAATTGAAATTGGAACTGGCAATGCTTTTCGTTTAGGGGTAACTTCATTCTGTCCATTGGCATCTGTATATAATAAAAACTTCGAGGTTTCACTCCATATTTATTATCTAAGTACCAAACAATCATAAATAGTTGAGCAATATAAGTTGTTCAATGATGTTTCATCTTGGCCCATAGGAAATAAATATAATACGTACTCTAACTACATTGATTCCTTTTTCGAGTACTTGAAGTTGTCGGGGGGTTCTGAATATTAATGATATCTCCAAAGGTATTTTCGAAATCATCAGGATTTGAGATAGGTACTGGTAATGGTACTCGTGCAGGGGTAACTTGAATATTTCCATTGTGTTCTGTAAATAATACAAAAATATATGTGGAACTTTTAGATAGACCATTTATAAATCGGATTCTTAAGTAATTTATTGTACTTTCTTAAGAATATACAAACCCGAGTATAAAATTGAGTTTATTAGCGAATGAACCATAACTTTTATACCTGGGTTGATGAAATCCAATTTAGGTCTTTTGGTTAAGATGTCATGATCTTTATCCATTGCAGAAGACGATTTTTTGTTCTTTTTCATTATTCTACAGATTTGTGAGAATGTAGAGAATCGATATATGCGTAAGATATATTTAATATTAAGAATTGAAAAGTAGTAGGCATCTTAATAGGATAGTTACAATATTCTAAAGATTGGTTAAGATTACAAATAAATTGAGAATTTATCTAAACATGGAAACTTTAGGAATTAGTTTAAGTTCTTTTAATTATGATTGGTTGTGTTAATATTCACGAATTAGCATATATATACGACAGAATATAGTAGTTACGATCATTTTTCTAATTTTGTAAAATGTACATATATTTCTAATTTTATATTTAAATACAGAGTTGTTATAGGATACAACTCTAATTGTAAGTGCTAAAAAAATTTATGTATTGCCAAAGTAATAATGACTCCAAATATTTTGCATGAATGTTGTAAATGTTTAATTGCCATGCATAATTTCTTTTCATATTAGGCTTGAGTTTGGCAAAACCATCCGTACATGCAGTTATTTTTCTTTGTTATATATACTAATAAATTAAAACTCCTCAGTTACTAATTAAATAGCAAAACATAATATAGTTAAAAATTCCTGCTTTTATTAAACTTTAAATAACAAACCACAGAAAATCTGTAAACAGAAAAAAACAAATCCTACGGGCAAGGAAAAAAATAACCGAAACTTAAACAATGAGATATTGTAGTAAATCCTAAGAAACAAAGCAAGCAGGAGAATGCATATTGTTAAAGAAACGAAGACTTCAGTCATCAACTTTCTCCTTCTTAACAGGCTTCAGAGAAATCTTTTCTTCACTCAATCCAGTCTTCATGTCCCCATTGAAAGCTTTCTTAGAAGTAGACTGTTCTCCATTATGATCATCAAAGTCAATTATCTCCTCGCTTTTCCTTTTTGACTGTGGTGAATTATCATCGTCGCCACTGTCAAGTAAATCTTAGGAACCTAAAATGACAAATGTGAACAAATACGTTTATGTACAGTCTTATAATCTTAATGAGAGGCATCTAATTCATAAATAGCATACCTGTTCATCGGGAGTTATAAATCCCATTTCTTCAGACTTGACATCAGGGGTAGTCTATAAATAAAACAATACATTAACAATGATCAAAAGACAATGAAATATGAATAAATATTAATACGAATAAATAGTTTAGGGATCAAACCAAAAATCCGGATATTTCTGAGAATTCTTTGACCATGTCACTTTGGGTCACAATCTTTGTAACTTTGTAAACATCACTGTTGAAAACGATGTTTGAACTCTCAAAAGATAGCTTGAAGAGATAAGTTTTCCCACAAATGTTACTAATTGGAAGAGGTAGTACATCAGGATCTTGGATCTGCAAGCAGTTTAGCAAACATATAAGTTTTCTAATATATATAGTAAGATTGACTATAATAGAGTTGATAGTAAACTGCATAACTACCTCTTCCACAGATTCAGTCAATTGTGCAGCTGTTTGATTTACAACTTTCATGGCAAGCTTATCAAAGATTAAGAACTTTGTTTCGCCAGTGTTGTCCATTACACGGAAAGTCAGCATAAACCTATGTTAGCATAGAACAATATATGAATATAAATATTATAAATAAAAATTACTAATATTATTTTTGCTCTAAAAATTGCATCCAAGACTTACGCTGGTACGACACTTTCAACATCATCCTTACATTTGCCACATTTCCATAACTGTTTACGAAATGGCCTACCAGGATATTGCTCCTTCAACAAATCCATATCAAGAGGAAGCACCTTTTTAGAGCACACTTTGCATGACATATAGTACCATCCAAACTCAGTGTCAATAGACATGATGGTAGCCATAGTCACACATTTTTCAACCTAATAATTGAAGCATTACTTTCTTTTAAAAACCCAATCGCCATATATTGTTTAAGAAATATGTGTACCACGCAAACTAAATACCTCAGATGCACCAAGTAT